GCTACTCACATGCGTAAGTATTTTCAGAATCAAGGTCTAAATTTGGTGCTAAATTTGATATGGTAGTGTACCTACAAGAGTCACAAGAAATAACTAAAATGACTAGAACCAGAAAAGATTAAAAACTAAAGGTTTTTTGTCTGATTAACCTGAGTATATAAAGTGCTGCGAAATGCACTGTTTCTCCTGTGCAGTCAGTCGTTTCGCCCCCTTTAAGTTACGAAGGTTTTTCAAAAAAGGAACAGAGGACAGTAAGATTGTAAATCTACCAAAATCAGGGGACTTAGAACTCAGGATAATATCTGAATCTGCTGTTCACTCATACAGCTGTGATGAGCACAGAGAAGATGGGAGCTCCCCAACTGGAAAAAAAAATTGTTCAAGAAGTGAAGTCCTATGTTTGAGTGATAGAAAATCAAACCGACAAGCATTATTTTTCAGCTCAGACAGATGGGGAAACAGAGTGAGATCATTCCATGGAGTCTCTGCAGCAAGAGACATTCTGGAGCAGATATTCTGTTTGGTTTCAAAAGTTTAGTTCATGTGATTAGATGCATAGGAGGTGTCCCCCACAAACTGAAAAATACTGCAAAACAATACCTTGATAACAGCCTTTAAAGGAAATACATAATATAAGTCTTGTAGACATTAGTTGTAGATCAGACCTATCCTATTTATGCAACATCTAGAGACACTGGTACTTAACTGCATTACAGAAAAATTCAGTGATAGGCCCTGTTCAAGGCCTGCAGCCTGGGGGTTCTCTAGACTGGAGTTCCCGCTCCCTCTGCCCTTCCCCAGCACTGCTCCAACTCAGGTACCCTTCTCAGCTCCCCAGGCAGCCAGGTCCTTCTCTCTCAAAGGCGAGAGAGAGAGTCTGTGTGTGCTCCTGGCCCACTGCTCTTGTAGACATTAGTTGCTCATCCCTAATTGCTCCCCTGCACCATAGAGTCAGCGGGCTCTAGGGATGTGCCAGAGAATCCCTGGGATTTGGGCTATTAAATTTACACTAAACCTGAACGGTTTTGAAAGCCATAACCAAAGATTCCAAACCCAGATTAAGAAGAGTGGGGAAGAGGTCATGGATGATGCACTCCAGGTCTTATTCGGATCTGTAAAAAAGAATTTGGAGAGCAGAGCTTGGTGAGCGTGTGATCAGGGCCGGCTCCAGGCACCAGCTTACCAAGCAGGTGTTGGGGCGGCCACTTCGGAGAGGGGTGGCAAGTCCAGCTGTTCGGCGGCAATTCAGCGGACGGTCCCTCACTCCTGCTCGGAGCGAAGGACCTCTCGCCGAATTGCCACCGCAGATCACGATCGTGACTTTTTTTTGTTTGTTTGTTTGTTTGGCTGCTTGGGGCAGCCAAAACCCTGGAGCCAGCCCTGCGTGCGATAGATGTGGTGAGTGCATTACACATGCTCTGGGAGTGACCAGTCTGGCATGTGCCCCCCAGCACTCCTCGACACATGCTGGATAGATTAGGGAGGCGGTGTGTCTTAGTGGAAAGGGCACAGGACTGCGACTTCGGAGGCCTAGATTCTGTTCCTGGCTCTGCTGTGGGGTGACCTTGGGCACTTCACCACTCAGTGCCAAGATGGGAGTAATGCTCCTGACCTCCTTGGTAAAGTGCTGGGAGAGCTGCTGACGATTAGAGAGGGGTGTTATTAATACCAGTTTGCTCAATGTCACTGGCACCTACCGCTCCAGTACAGACAGGGGAATTCAGAGCTTGTAGTTTGCCCTCAGATGTTCATTTTCCTCATTTTAAATAAGTAAGCTTGCTCTCCTGAATCAAATGCCTTTTTCATCTATTGAAAGAGCGACTGTCTGACGGCTAGACCTGATGGATGAGAGCACCTGTCTGATGTTGCCTGAAGCCGGCTGGCCTTTCACAAACCCTGCTGGGTCTCTGTGTAGAACATCTAATAAAATAAGAGTCGTGTTGAAATTGATAATCAACATTTAGCAGGCAGAGGAGCCTAAAATCAAGCCCAGGTGGCTCTCATATGTTCTGCATGTACCTCCTGGAAAAGCCGACCTTTCCCAAATGTCACTGTAGCAATTCACTTAGTAAAGGAGCTTACGGATTCGGAAGGCTGCAGATTGATTGTTGGGAAGCTGTCACTTCCAGGAGGCTTCCCACAAGGGTTCTGACATTTCCTCAATGACTGAGATTTTGGGGGAGCTACATTTAGGAGTTATTCATTCGTGTTTCCTCCTCGTCAATTTTTAATGTAGATCAATGGTTTTCCACCTTTTTGCATTTGTGGACCCCTAAAAATTTTCAAATGGAGGTGCAGACCCCTTTGGAATTCTTAGACATAATCTGCAGACCCTTGATTGAAAACCACTGATTTAGATTTTAAAAAAACAAATGATTAGTCACAGGATCTGTCAGAGGGTTAGGACCAATTCTCATAGATGAAGGAATGATCTTCTGGCTTTAAGGCCTCCTGTCCTCTCCCTTCGCTAATGAATAGTGCAGTTCTTTCTACTCATATCAAATTGAATTTTCTCTGGGAAATGTAAGTGGTAAATACACAAAGTGAGAGCACTTTAAAGTACTGATGAGAGATTACAGATTCTACTGATTCTACTGATTCTACTGATATTTCTCATTTCTTTAGTAAAATGGAATCCCTCACACAGGCAGAATCTTTCCAAGTGGAAGAATTTTTAGGGCAGCCACTGTATATTGCTCGAGATCTAGAGAGATTCAGCGCAAGAGCCAGATGTTAACTCAGCTTCTAATGTCCAACTTCCAGCCACAACCATATTCTATCTAATCTACTTGTCTGACATTTGGAAGCTCCATCTGAAGAGGCCACGGTACTAGGAATTTTCACGGCACATCTGCTCTGCCCAGAATATTTTTCTGATCTTTTTAACAACCATAACCAGCCACCTCTGTTATAAATGGAACAGTCCCATGCCTTTGCTGTTCATTAGCCTTGGATATACCACCTCTGAAATCATCCCACAGATAGAGAGGTTCAACCGCCTTGGAGGAGAAATCAGAATTAAAATAATGGTTCATGCTGCTTCTCATAGAGTCTCAATTGCTTCCCAACCCAGTGCCCATTTTGCTCCTTCTCTGTGGCAGCTACAGTGCTGATGGAGCAGGTTGAACTATGAAGCTCAGCACCTCAGCTGGTGTCTATTTAGACTGGGGCATGCATGAGAGCAAACTGGCTGAGGGTCAACCCAGACAAGAAGGGGATGGTGGGTGGGGGAAGCAGCTGGGGGTGATAACATAAGAACGGACATACTGAGTCAGACCAATGGTCCATCCAGCCCAGTATCCTGTCTTCTTAAGTGACCAATGCCAGGTGCTTCAGAGGGCATGAACAGAACAGGGCACTTATCGAGTGATCCATCTCCTGTTGTCCACTCCCAGGTTCTGGCAGTTGGAGGCAGATGGCAGAAGTAATATCAATCTGAGGGAGTGCGTCCACCATAGTCACTAGGGTTTGGAATTTAGGGGTGATTCTAAACCCCCTGCTGCTATCTGACCATCATATTACAGCCAGAGCCCAGTCAGCTTTGTACCAGCTGCATCCAGCTAGGAGGTGGTGGCCTTTCCTTTTGGACGTGAGTCTGACCACTGTCGCCCAGATCTTTGTCATCTCAGGATTAGACTGTTGCAATGTGCTGTACACGGGGCTATCCCTGAAAACCATTCAGAGACTGACGCTGGTGCAGATCGAGATGGCTCACTTACAGAGCGGGGCATCTCCTGGGAACTCATGGCACTCCGGGGTTGACACTGGCTGTCCACTGGTCTCCGGGTAGAGTTTAAGATGTTCGTTATGACCTGTAAAGCCCTAACTGGCTTGGGACTGGCCTACCTGAGGCATCGCCTCTGCCCCATGCCATGCTGCCACAGCTGTGGTTTGCAGGGGCGCTCGAGCTGACTCTCCCTCGTTATCCAAGCGGGGGCGGGGTTTCAGAGAAGGGGCGGGGCATGGGTGGTGTCTCAGAGGAGGGGAGGGGCAGGAGGCGGGGAAACGGTGTTCAGTTTTGTGCGTGTTACACACATCTCTGTAGGAGAAAGGCCTGGCTGAATTCCTGTTCTCTCTAGCTGCCCCTATGCATAGGAGCCGGAGGGGGGACATGCTGGCTGCTTCCCAGGAGCCACGCTGTGCGGAGGTTAGCAGGGAGCCTGCCAGCCCCGCTGTGCAATGCCACCAACCAGACAGTCTGACCATGCACCTCAGCTATTCTAACCTGCAGAATTCCAGTGTAATGTACCAGAGAGCCAGGTCTCCAGGGAGAGCAGTGCTCACATAATAACCCACTGCAGAAATGGGTGTTGTTAAACACACGAGGGCACATGCTCCAGTACACACTCTTTATGTGTTCCTTACCCACATAAAACCAGCGAGCCCAACAACAATCAATACGAAGAACAGTGCCTCTCCTGCATTCTGCCGGGTGGGGTGGGGTGGGGGGCAGTGATGAGTTACCTCCAAGCCGGGCAGCTCTTCGGGAGGGGCTACGTGCTTTATTCATGTTTTCCCAGCATTTACATGGGGGTTTTCACAAAAGGTTAGACTTACTGGCTCAGATCCAAGCAAGCCAGATCCAGATTCTGCCCCTTTCTACTAAGCATCATGGTGACTAGGGCTGAAGACCAGGTGTCTTCCTTGAGGCCCCATTTAATGTGATTGTGACTCCACCCACTTAGAAACCTGACTCAGCACGTTTCTCTAGCCACTGGGACATCAGAGCCAGTATTTTTGCCTTACTAGTTTGTTAGTCAAATAGCTGGTCACTATTGGATTCCGCTATTTCGAGTTCATTGTCCCTGGTCGCTTCTACATCTGCAGTGTCATCCTTTGAGAGAGGCTGGAAGTGAGCCCGTTTCAGAGTAATAATTGTGTCTACTCATCCATGACTCCAAACAACCTGCATAAGCTTTGATTAAGGCTTTGAATCTACTGAGAAGCAGGCAGATAATCAGTGTAAGTGATTCTTTTGCCTGCATTTCTTCCTATTCTAGGAGTGAAGCGCCTGAAATAGCATTCTCCAGTTGGTGTGTCTGAAGCACCTACTCATGGAATCCCTCCACACAACGGTCTTAGCGATGGGTCTGAAACACGAAGCCTTTGCACTCATCCTGCTGGTGATCTGAAATGTGTACCTGGGACAGAGCAGGCACTGACCAACGGCAATGAACCTGGGCAGCTCCTAGTTCCGCTGGTGTGGATCTTCATTACCCCTTCACTGTGAAAGTGTGGCCTGGGCTCCCCAAGGGCTCCCCTGAAAGATGAGTGATGGCGCGTGGATCTCCCTCAGCCCGACAGAATTTTCGCAGCTCCAGCAATATTCTGATTGTGAGTACTCAAATTCTCTCCTAGCTCTGCTGTCATGTGTGGCTGGCTGTGGGGTGTGTTGGGGGGGGGAGGAATGAGTGGCCTTGACAACAGCCCCCAGGCATCTCCAGAGCTTTCTGTACTAGACAAATATGGCTGTATTCTCCTTTTCCTAGTGACTGTACCTAGAACTCATTCCATGGTGCAGCACCAGGCCATCTCCTCACTGCCTGGGAAATAGGCAAACTAAAGCACTGAGCAGTGATGACCCACAGAGGTCTTATACGGAACTTTATAGATCCTGCAGATGCTACCAGTCATCTGTGTTCTCAGAGGCTTTGCGCACATGTTGTGTGTAGGAACACGGTGTAGTTACTCTGTTTATCACTGAACCCATAACGATGTCTTTTATGGTAGTGCTGTGATGAACTCAGGTGCAGTAATACGGTAGCTGTGGAGCAGACACACTGACTCAGCACTACAGCTGGCTGGGAATTTTTCGGCTGAATTTCTTTTGTTGGAAGATGACCGTTTGTTGAAATTGAAATGTGTATTGGTTGTGACAAAATGTTTGTTGGGAAGGTTTCCTTGGTGCAGGATGGCCTCCAGGGAGACTCAACCCACAACAGGCCAGTGGTGAGAACACTTGCTTTGGATGTGAGTGTCCCCATGGAAGTAGGCAGAGCAGGTATTGGAATGTGGGTCTTCCATATCTCATCTGTGTGCGGCTTTTGGCTGGGCTGGGGAAAGGTCTCTCTCTCTCTCTCTTGTTCCTCACAAAAAAATTCGAAAAGGCTCCTTTTCATTCCCCGGCAGAAGGCAAACAAATGTTAACACCTTGAAGTCTTTCACAAAAGAGAATTCTTGTTCTCCAGTCAGCCCTACTCAGCATAACTCGCCAGTTGTCCATCATTTCTGTACCGGATCGCCCCTGTCCCAGGAGCTGTCCTGTTTGTCACAAGTCTGGCCTGTAATGTTGGTAGAACTCGGGGGGAGGGAGTTTGGTCAGGTCCGTTTTTCTCCCATTAACCTTATTACCATGATTTAATCTTTCAGAGATTAGCCTAACATCATTTTTCAGCAGCCGTGTTGCTGATTAGGGGATGCTGTCTCCAGAAACATAGACAGAAGATTTTGTGGGTTTATGTCTACAGTGGCTGGATTAGACCCTTCAAATCTACTCCCGCTTTCAGGCAAGGGCAGCATTTTCCTGTGGTATTCTGCTCTATTTTGATCCTGTGTGACTAAATCCAGGTTATCTGAACCCACCACGTCTCCTGGGGCCCTGAGACCAGAGCAAAGAGAATTAAAAGTAAACTGGCGCCCATTAAAGCATTCTAGGAAGGAACTCTTCTCAAGTATTTATAGCTGCAGCGCTCCTGAAAAGAGCCTGGTCTGAAAGCAGCTCTGCTCCCTTTGCAGGGGGTGCCTGCGGGCTCAGCGATTTTCCATCCCTGGGGTGATGAGGAGGAGGAACAGCTACAATGGCAACATTCCGGCCCTTTAGCAGGACCTGCTTTGCATCACTAGTTGGAGGCTAGCCACTGCTGTAGGGCTGCCTGGCAGAAATCCCTCCTGCCTTCGGTTTAGGCAGCATCCGGAGGTGATGGTTTACTTCAGCTGCTCCAGAGTCCCCGGGGAAGCTCAGATCTTGATCCCTTTGCACTAAACTAAAGTTGTTTTACCCATTGTTTGGACCAAATCACTGTCCCGTCCTCCCCCACATTGAACCCACCCCTGTTCTCCCTTCCACTACTGCATCAGGTCTAGCTGCTTATGACTGCCGTCAAGGCCCTGCCGAGCACTGGCACGCTGAGCAAGAATCTGCAGGAGGAAATCCTTGCAGATAGCCTTCTGCAATCAGAAGGGGACAGTCTGGCCTAGACTTAGCCAATATATTTACAGGAAAGTCTACAAAAGGGAACACTCTAGAGACAGGTCAGAAAGAGCAAAACATTCTTTAGTGAGCACTTATCAAAAATGAGATTTGTAACTTCAGGGCAGTTAAAAAAATAAAGAGCTAAGAAAGACATTAAGGAGAAACAAACAAAACATTGTAAAATACAGCTGATGTTTGGGAAGCAATGATGTATGTGGAGTATCCTGCATCTGAATCAAGTTCTGCAGCTTCAGAAAGTGGGTTCTGTTTTATTTAAGCACAGACAATAAAATAACTATGATAATGCTAAGTCCAAAAAAAAGATATGCAACATCTTCATTTTATTAATTGACGTTTGGCAAGAAATGGAAACTCAGAGATGAGTTTGATGGAGAAAATTACTAACCTTATCTATGTTAGAGTTATGGTAGTAATATAAGGGAAATTGATAGCTTACAAAACGACGCGTAGTCTCTCCATTCCCAGATCTCACTCTGTCACACATTCCACAGCAGCAAAGGAAGTGTTTTGAGCACTAAAGGGCTTATGAATGTGCAATATCCTTCCAATATATTACGAGAAAGGTGGGTTGCAATCTGAGGCTAAAAAGGACATAACCTTGACAGACAAATTGTCTGTACCAGTGAATTCAGAGAACTACACAAATCACACAATGTTTACCCTAACTTCTCATTTAAAGTGCTTCCTATTTAAATCGTACTTGGCCTTAATTTGACCAGCCTCACTATTTGTTTTAATCTGGAGTACATTGTGTTACATTTTACTTTTATCTGAAACAATCTAACTTTGACTCTGATCGACCTGTTTATCGTGTTTTATTGTAGAAAAAACATCACTAGAAGCCGATAGTGGCGAAGAACTAAATTTTGATTTCTGGTCTGCTAATCTAACTGCTTTTTAAGCAGATATGCCTAGCAAGGGCTTGAAGGGGCCCAGGAAAATGCCTACTCCTTGGATTACTGGGTCCCTTTGCAAGCGCAGTTAACTCTGTGATAATCTAAAGCTCCAATTTCCTTTCTCCTCTCGGGGAGTGAAAAGGACTCCCTTAAACTCCCGACTGGTACAAATAATTTTCCTTAGACAGACAGTTGAGCTCTGTGGTGGCCAGGAGTTCTCTCACTAGGGCTTTCTCTGGCACTCAGAGCTGGCGTCTGAGCCCCGCAAACACAAATGCACGTACCCTTTCTATCCCCAGAGGTAGGGAAGGTTGGAGCCCCATTTGCCTAACAGAACGTATATTTAGCATGACGTTCTTGAGAGCCCCTGGATTGCAAAACATGGCATCTTCAGCCTAGTGCTCCCTCCAGCTCTCAGCTGCTCTGCCCTGCCTGGGTGGTTCCTAGCCAGCTGTAAACTATCCCACTGATCTGCCACTCCACCGCGGTTCACTGAGTGCGCCGCTTCCACAGCCAGGCGACCTACTTCACCTCCTTTTGCTTTTCAGCTTCCCACGTTGCTATGAAGATCTTGATCCTCTGTAGTTTTACCCATTAGTCTATTTTTATCTGATGCCTGTGTGACTCCTTGTTACTTTCCTGCTCTCTCCTCCCATTCAGCTGCAATGTCCATCTCATCTTTTAACAGACAGCTCTTTTGCTAGACCTGGGTGTCACACCCGGACCTCACCTTGCTTGTGCCTCCAGACTCCTCTCCGTACCTGTCCCGCGAGCCCTCCACCTCATCTACTTCCACCACCACTTGGCCTGGCCTGGCCTGCGTGCGGCCCTCCCCCCTTTCCCTGAAACCTCATTGTCTGACCTGTGCATCCGCCCAGCCTTCCCATAGAAGCCCCTCTTGTCTCAGCTGGGGAATCCCACCCACCCTTCATGACCTCTTCACTTGGAGTCATTTCACTTTGTACTGTCCTCTGCTGCTTGTATTAGTCTCTAGCAAGGGGCAGCTGCCATGGGCATTTTCCTTCTAGCTGCTCTGGTGCTCGATCCCTCCCATGCAGGAGGAAAGTGGCTTCCTGTCTCACACGGAAGCTGAGTGGAGGGAGGAAAGTGGCTTCCTGTCTCACACGGAAGCTGAGTGGAGACATTGTCTACCAAGTCTCCTTCCCTAGCAGGCTCTTGTGCAGGTGAGGGAGGGCAGCAGAAATCTGGGGACAGAAAGGCCGCTCCCCTTCCAGGTAAGAGTCCCCTCCCCTGACCCATGGACAGTAGGCAGGGAAGATTTGCTGCAGGGTGTGGGATGGATGGAGGGGCGTGGTGCAAGGTGGGGAATGCTGAGGGGCTGCAGGAGTCAGTGAGGGGGGCAGGGTGTGGAGCCACACTCAGCAGCAGGGAGATGGGGGAAAGGCTGGGTTCTGAAGGAAAGACTTGGTAGAACCTAGTGTAACCCTTCTGCAAAGTGGAGCCAGCAGCAACAAGGGCTGAGTTCAGTATCTAGAGGTTCCTTTTCAACAATACAACACAAAATAGGCTCAAGCCCCCACCCAGTGGCCGGGACAATTACACACCATCCCCTGGGCGCCTCTAAGAAGCAATACTTCCCCTCTCGCAAGCACAGAGTCTGAGTCTAGCAAAACCTTTTAATAAAAGGAGGGAATTAACTCAGCATTAATTTGGGAAAACACTGCAACTAGGGTTCATAAACACAAAGCAAAAGACCCACCTCAAGTAAGTTGGGCAGTGTCCTTTTCCCTCAGGATCTTAAGTCCAGCAACCCAAAAGTCCCTTTAACGTGCCCGTCCCTTCTCTGTACCCCACTCACAGTTGCTATCCTTGGCCAGTGCAGCCCCAGAGTTCAGAGGTTCATCCACAGAGTTCACCTCCCACCCTGTGTAGAAGGGGTGGGGAAAGGAGGTACCTTATACGCTGTACTGCTCGGGCACTCGCTCGTCGCCTCAACGGCCGCTTGCCACGCCTCTGCAGGGCTCTGCCCTGGCCCTCTCCACCAGCTTCTCTGCTGGCTGCTTGCCACACCTCTCTGCCAGCCAGGCTGCTGGCCACGCCTCTCCACCAGCCTCCCTGCTGGCTGTTTGCCACACGTCTCTGCCAGCTGGCCACTCACCAAGGTGTCTTCAGGGCCCCCCCCACACACACATAACACAGCTCTTAGTGATTTCAGCTGTTAGTGGGGGAGCCCCACTGCTGGTGTACACTGGGCAGTCTCTTGCAACAGAGACACTGTCCCAAAGGAGATCTAATACTTAGACCGAGGTATCAGTGATTTCAGCTCTGCAGCATGTAACAAGACTCTCAATTGAATCTAAATTAGCTCTTATATTATACCATGGAGAGCAGAAGAGTCATATGGTGCTTAGGCCCTGTCCCCACCCTCTCTTTACTCATTGGGCTTTGGAACCCATGTCCCCTGCCTAGCAAGTTCCATTCAGTTGAGGGTGAGTCCCTCCATTGTGGTATGCCAGGTACAGTTCTGCTGCCCTCGGTTCACACAACAAGGATAACCCTTTATTACTCCTACCCCAATAATAAGGAGACTGGCGATCCAACACCAGTCACAAGTGATCATTTGGGCAAGCAATCCCATCATGCTTAACACCTAGGCAGGATGGGGGTGTCCATGCAAATGAGATCAGCTTCTGAAGTATTTTTCCACAACTCACCACTAGATGTTAGGGGAGATCTCGTTCAGATTCTGCTTACACCAGCATCAGTCTGGATGTTGGAAACAAGTCACGTGCAGCCTTGGGGTCAGGCTTGAAAAGCAACTGGGGAGCATGGGGCAGGGCATCCTGGCCTGTTTCCCATTCAAGGGGGTCCCAAGTCACTCCTGGGTCAGATGTCTCATTGCGGGTGAGTCGCCTTCGATAGCATGTGCCACTGAGGAAGGCACTTAGACTCCATGGCCTCCGGGAGCGAATGCTGCCTTAGCAATGGCATGTGGAATCTCTCACCTCTGGGCCACTTCCTGAGACTCTGCCTAGACCATTAACTCACCAAGGGGCAGCACCAGCCAGTGGTGTTCAGTGGCCTAGGTGGTCTCAGGTCAGCGATTAGTGGGGAGGTGTATGCATGGAGAAGACCACTATTCCAGCTGGCACCCTTACAGGGCACCGGATAAGTGTCCCTATCCTACCGAGGTGCTTCCTTAAAGTCAGGCTGGAGGCGTGCTGGCCAGGCTAGTGCAGCAAGGTCGCAGTGCCACTGTCTGTGCTGTGCCCGCTTCTATGCTTTCCAGAGCAGCCGCTCTGCACCGTTCCCACACAAGGCTCCGCCCAGTTCGAACACTGCAATGAGAACAATCATCCAGTCAGCGCTGCCTTGGGGTCTCGTTGTGAAGCAGGATCTCCATTCTGCTTGTAGGCACAGTTCTCCCTCCTGGGCACCTGCTGCTCTGGGATCCATTGCAGCTAGGTTTTTCCTCCTTGTCTGCCACACGTGGAGGCTCCTCCTTGTTTTGCCCTCCCTGTAGTGATGGCAGGTGGAGCTGGGCAGAGACCTGATAGCCTCGCTAACTCCTCAATGTGTCCTCTCCACTTGAACTGGCAGAAGGTTCCGCTGGGCATCTCCGGGCTTTGTTTCCAGGCAGGTACTTTTTCTAGTCTTGTGTTGATTTTTCTCCCTCTCCTTGGTGCCCCTGGCAGGGCGAGGGTTCTGAGAACAGGAGTCTGCAGGAAACTGGTATGTGAGGAAAAACATGGCAGTGAGGCAGGCCCAGCTAAGATGAAAGGGGCTTCTGCACACGGCCCAGCTGTGTGGTGCTCTCACTTTCTGTCTGGCAGCTGTGAGTTCAGCATCCTTGAACCTCCTGGATTGGCGTCCATACGCACTATTGTCAGATGGATAAATTCAGTGGTTTGTGAGGCCTATGAATTATTCGTTAAAGATCCCCCATCCTGTGAGGGCTCCTTGTTTCGTGGGTAGAACAGCACAGTGCTTTGTTCAAGTAACATTGCTGTGTAGTTACCTGGTCTTCAGTGTATTCTATTGGCCATCACTTCAAAACAGATGTGTTGTCTTTTTTGGATGTGGGTTCTGCAGTCTCTTGCTGTTTTTCCTTCATTAAAACCTTTTACATGGTGGGGAAGTAAGAAGAAAAGCAAAAAACCAACCAACCAAAACCACCCTCCCATCAGAGCAGGTTTTCATCTTGGTTCAGTTGTATGTTTCTCTCCTGTTTGTGCAGATTGGTTTTACGGCTGGCCACTTCCCAGCTGTAATGGGAACACCAGGTGAACAAGAGAATTTACTGACGCAGCTATAATTTTTCTGTCCCTGAAGGCGGCAGCTGGTGCTCAATGAGACACCACTCAGGACATCATCCAATTTTGCATTAAATTCCAGTTAGAATATCTCAGTCCCTCATGGAGCATTCCTGCAGAGAGATGATGGGATTCCCTCCAACTGGGATCTGGCTTCATTTCCATGTTTTGTGTATCCTTTATAGTTTGTCTTCTCAGCTTGGGCCCAGAGCCTGAGAGTACAGCTCCCCCTGCTGGCTGCACATTGTGAAGTTAGAGCAGGAGGTTCAAAATAAGTAACTAGGAGTATGGAAGATGAGGAATAAACCCAGTTGTAATGCAGGGTGGAGCACCAGGTGTCTGCTCCAGAGAAGGGGAAATGATAGGTGGGTAAGTACATGGTACTGTTCCTAGCATGCTAGGCCTCTAGCTGTCCTACTGCTAAATGGGTGGCTTAATATCACTGTGAAAGCTTGTGACATCACAACTTGATCTGCTGTTAATGGTTTTCATGGCAAGCGGGGAAGTCTGTTCCTCCATCAGCATCACAGTGCTTCATATATGGTTCTGTCCTCCTAGATTCCACTAAGAAGCTGAAGGATGTCTTGGAAGAGTTCCAAGGGGACGGAGTCCTCTCAAAATATAACCCAGAACAGGTAAGAAGGTTTATAACATCAGCACATTATATATTCATCCCCTTCCAACAGGCCAGAAAGGCTGATAAGTGTGTCAGAGCTACTGAGCTAATTGCACCTCTGCCTCCCCACCCCAGTCTTTCCAAGCGCACCGTGTCTCAGGCCTTGAGCCGTCACCTATCTGAGGATGGAGTTATGTGACTCTCCCATTCTCACACCAGGCTCTGGGCTGCAGTCACCCATGCATCAACTGCAATTACATCTGCAGGCCTGATGTATGTTGAGCAACTGGAGGTTTGTTCCCTCCGGGGCAATGACAGTGGTAACCAGTGACCACATGTTCTCCTGAAAGCAAGAGATAATTTATTTAGAACAAAAGTGTTTAAGAGAAAACAGATCTTAAAAACAATAGCCAGTCTGTACGCCTGCCTGCCTCTCCCTAAGGCTTACCATTCCCTGGAGCTGGGGTAGGCTCTAATGTCTTCAAACACTCCAGCAGGACCCATGTGTGTGTCCGTGTCAGAGCTAACGAACAACTCCCTAGACAGCCCCTGGCAACTGACCCACTTGGCAGGAATCAAGTAACTTTTTAACTGGGTGTAGCTCTTTGATCTAGTAACTCAGATCTCCCAGCATTTCAAGTGGCTAAAGCAGGACGCAGCGCCACTCAGGTTTGGCCCTTCAATCCCTCGGAGATGGAGGTGGAGAGGTGGGCAGGCCAAACCTTTGGGCAGCCCTGAATGTGGGAAATGTTCTACTTCAGCTAGGACAGGGAGGTTTTGGGTTCACAGTGGGACAGTCCCATGAATCCCAGGACTGTTGGGAGGACTGATAATTCCCAGCTTTGGCAAAACCAGGCTTTCAACTTGGAGACAGGAAGCAGGATCCTTGACCCATTGTCTTTCAAGTGTGTACCTGGATGTTCTTATTTGGGAAAACTGTGTTGCTTTCCTGCTTGTCCCCTTTGAATTCAAGTATTATAGGCCTATGATAAGCATCCTATGATCCCAGTATAAGTTATAGACTCTCTCTCAATAACTAGGTTACATATCAATGTTCTCAGTTATTACAAAACTCCTCTATGTCATACATGCCAACTCCGCAAAAAAAAATGCAGAAATTGGGTGCTTTTTTTGGCTTAATTGGCTTGTGAGTTTCTTGTTGGCTATTTTTTTGCTTGTGGCTTGTTGCTTGTACCTTGTTGCTTGTTGTAGCTTGTTGCTTCTTTTTTTTGATCGGCTCCTGGCAAGCAGGGGCAAGGGGGGGGGCAAGCAGAGGGTAGGGGGATGCCCATTAGACCCATCACAATCCCAGACTGCACGCCGGGGGGATCTAGTCACATAAAGTGTTGGGTTCTTAGGGATTTGCTTGTTTGGGCCTTGTTTTGAAATGGGATTAGCTTGATTTTTGGCTTTACCGTACTAGGGAACAGAGCAGAGAGGTCGGCACTGTTCTGAAGCTCACCATGGCCTCAAGCCTGACAGCAGTGACCTATTGCTCCCCAATGCAGAACTGCAGAGTGACTAGAGACCCATCCTAAGGGAAGGGGATGGACCCCTATGCTACTGCCTTAGGCACACTGGCTGCCACATGCGATTCTGGGGACTTGTCAGCAGGGCTGTCTCTAGGGGCATGCGGGGCCTGGGACATAGGTGCTGAGTTTCTAATCTGCTGGGGGGGTGCTCCCCCTGGCTCTGCCCAGGCCCCGTCCCCACTCCACCCCTTCCCCAAGGCCCCACGCCCACCCACCTCTTCCTGCCCTGCCCCCTCCTCCGAGCGTTCTGCGTCCTTGCTCCTCCCCCCTCTCCCCCAGCACCTTCTGACACTGATCCACGGCAGGCAGTAGGCACTGGGAGGGAGCGGGAGGTGCTGATCAGCGGGGCCCGCCAGCAGGCAGGAGGCACTGGGGGGAGTTTCTGGTAGGGGGGCTGCCGGTGGGCACTCCAGCCCCGGAGTGCGGGGCCCCCCAAAGCGTGGGGCCTGGGGCAATCGCCCCAATTCATCGTACCCAAGGGACAGCTCTGCTTGTCAGACTCCTTGATTCAGGACAGGACAGTCTGCGGCACTTGGGATCCTGCCTGCAGAAGCGGCTGCTCCAGGAAGGTGATCTCAGACTAGACAGATGCTTACCCATGGGACGTGCAGTGGAAGCTGCAAGAGAAAGGATGACAGCCTTAGGAGGCACAACAGCCCCAGAAGTATGTACAGTGAGACAACAACAAAGGTGAGCAGGTGGCCAGGGCTCCATATCCATCGTGAGATGCACTCACCGAGGGAGACGGCATGAGCAGGTAGAGGAGACGGGCCCTGCACTGGACAGCATTGCAAGGAACGTGGCAAGTTGAGCCATTTTAGCAAAGTGTGCCAGAGCAGAGGAAGGATCCAGAAAGTTTCAGCCAGACCTGTACAAGAGGGGGAGGGCACATTGGACAGCGGTGGTGACACCATGACTCTCTCTGGAGCCCGAGAGCATATCAGGCTCAGGCTGTGGGCCAGGAAAGCAACAGGAGACCAGACCAACTCTGTGCATACGACAGTGTTACTAGGGAAAAGCCTTGCATGATTTCAGCGGGCTAGCGGGGCCTCCTGCAGTGTGATTCCTTGGTGTGAATTGCACTTGAACACGCCCATCACAAAGAGTAGGTGCAATCTAATAACCTACAATGAGCGCACAGTGCAGCCCATAGAAAAATGTCACCTCCTTATAACTAGTCTGGAAAACAGCCCCCGGGGCCAGCTGAAGTTTGTGGTGGTGGATGGTAAGCGCCACAGACCCCTCTTGGGGCATCCAGCTGTACAAGCCATGGATCTGATCGAGGGGAGCATCAGACTTTGATAGAGGCAGAGCAAGAAGCAAAAGGGGGAGCTCCATGGACAATGGAGGTAATTTTAAGAGCATATGGGGATGTTTTCCAAGACAAGAGGTGCCTCAAAAGAAAGCTGAAACTGCAAGTACACCCCATAGTAGAACTTGGGTGTTTACCATGAAGGAAATTTCCAATGGCACCACGTAATCCAGCATTGAGCTTAGAAGTCTGCAGAGCAGGGGCATCAAATGGGGAACAAATATTTAATAACGGACGCTTCAATCTAGCAGTGAAAGGTATAATATGATCCAATGGCTGGAAGTTGAAGCTAGACGAATCCAGACTGAAAATAGGGAGTACATTTTTAATGGTGAGAGTAACTAACCATTGGATCAATTTACCCAAGGGTTGTGGAGGATTCTCCATTACTGACAATTTTTAAATCAAGATTGGCTCTTTTTCCAAAAGCTCTGCTCTAGGATTTATTGTGGGGCAGGTGTCTGGCCTGTGTTATACAGGAGGGCACACTAGATGATCATAATGGTCCCTTCTGGCCTTAGAATCTATGAATCATAGCACCTGTAGAGGCCAGGACAGCCATCAGGCAAATAACACATCTGCATAGACCCAGAGTCACTGAACTGGGCTTTGAAAAGATGTCACTGTCCACTGCTCACAACTCATGCCATCTTGCTAGAACTCTCCAAAGCCAGAATCTCTACAGCTGTGAGGTGAGGCATGGGGTTTGGTACAAAAGCCTGGAGAAAGAGTGCAACATGCTGACAACCTTTGCAACACCATTTGGTCACTACGGGTGGCTGCCCATGCTGATGGGCATAAGCCCAGCACCAGATGTGTTCCAGAGATAAGTCCTGGAAGGACTGCCTGGGGTGAACATAATTGCAGATGATATTCTTATTGTAGGGAGAGGAGCAACAATACAGAAACTGAACGAGATTGTGACAGAAAACAACGATCTTTTCTACTGTGATGGAGGCACAAGAATATAAAACTCAACCCAGAAAAAATATGATGCAAACAGCATGAAGTGACATACATTGGATATCTGCTCACAGCAAGGGACTGAAGGCAGGTCCCAACAAGACCAAGGCAGTTAGAGACCTGCCAGCTCCAGTGGATGTGAAAGGGGAATGGTGCTTCTTAGGAACGATAAAAATTCTGTACAAGTTCTGGCCACACCTGGCTGCAGTGGCGGAACCCATACGTCAGCTCACAAGGCTGGATATTGAGTGAGACTGGGCAGGTCCCCAACCGCAAGCATTGGACACACCAAAACAAATAATAATGGATGTCCCTGTCCTGAAATACCACCAGACAGAAGAGCCTCTGACATTCCAGTGTGATGCATCGGAGAAAGGATTGGGTGTAGCTCTTCTGCAGGAGTAGCCGATCTCTTACGCCAGCAGAGCCCTGTCAGAGACTGAAGAGGGGTAAGGCCCGAAGAGAAAAAGAGCTTCTGGATGTGGTGTTTGGAGTGGAATGATTCCACCCGGACACCTATGGACATTAAGCAATAGGGCAATCAGACCACAAACCCCTAGAGACAATCATGGCAAAGCCACGTCTTAGTGCTCCAAAGAGATTTGAGCACATGTTGATGCACCTCCAGTGCTACCAGGTAGAGACGAGATATTGTCCAGGACCATTACTGATGTTAGCTGGCACCCTGAGAAGGGCACATCTACCCAGCATCAGTGAGTTGGGGCAAAAGGACCAAGGCACTGAATTTATTAACATGCTGCACTATCTACAGTTTTGGGCATTGATGACAGAACAGGGAATACAGGGAGTTCGGTTGGAAGCAGCTCAGTCACATGGACAGAGAGAGCCATGCACAGGGTTTAATAAAGTCCTGTTGGTTCAACGTATCTGCCTTCAGCTTCACTGTTTGCAAATGAAACACCCCCACCCCGTTTTCTCCCTATATGTCTGTGCTCCCCAATGAAACCTGTCTCCATTCCCCCTCACACTTTCCAACCCCCACTCGTTAGCCATGAACAAGGCTGGGACAATGGACTCTCCTATCGGACTAGGTTTGGGAAGAGTCTGTCCCTTGTAACACATCTCCTGGGATGGCTGGGTTTTGTAGACGATGCTTTTTGAAAGACTCAGATGAGATCCAGTAGGACAGAGCCTTTAGCAGAGGTTGTAACTGTAAAGAGCTCAGGGATGTTTGGTTTAGAATCATTCGAAGCGAGGTGATTAAGAACAGGCAGTGGGTTGTCCTCAGCTAGGAGAGGCAGTGAAAGCGGCGGAACTATTCAAGAACACAACAGGGTCCAGAGCCAAAGAATACAAACTGACTTTAGACAAGGAGCCAGCACAGAGGGAACTTCTTGTCTCCAAAGGTAATTACCACATGGAACAGAGCAACAAAAGGCATCACTAGGAGCTGTGCTTGTGAGCCTATTAAAGAGCGGTGGACAGGCACTTAGGAGAAAACAGGCCATTGTACAAATGATGTGTGGTGGGTGGACCTCAGTGAGTTCTAACTGCTTCCTGCCTACGGTGCCTTTGGCTGTTCCTCTCCTATGATGTGTCTTTCACGGTGAGTGTGTCCCTCTTACACAGAAGGGATTGCGTAGGTGTAATGCATTCTGGGGAAAGTAATGTAATGACTAATTACATTTAAAATGTCTTCGAAGCACAGATCAGCTGCAGGACAGGGGGAGTTGACCAAAGATAAAAATGTCCTCCAGCATGTTTGTAATTTAGTAAACAAAGTGCTGCTCCTCGTGCGCCTTCCCTGCCATTCGTGAGGGAGCTGTCCTGGGACCCACGTCAAACCCCTTCCTCCCACCCACGTTGGCACCTTCAGGGAAAATCTTAGTGGGTTTCCTCACTCCCATAGCATCTTCAGAGATGTCCTGGCAGACTTGCTCTTCCCACTCCTCTTAGTGGCCCCCACGTGGTCCGACTACTCTGGCTGTTTCAAATTAGAATTGCCCTTTGACGCTTGTGGCCCAGAGACGACAGGGACGGACTTTAGAGATGGAGACCTAGTGAGTCATCTAATCTGCTCCTGAGCAAATACAGGTTTGTGTTCTACAGAACACTCCCTAGTACTCCATTCAGCCCACTTTTAAAATGCTCAGGTGATGGGTTTCTGCTATTTCCCCAAGGAAGTTAGACACTGGCAAGTGTACAGTGGGAAAGAACCCTTCACTGAATGAATTATTCCTGGTTAGACCACCCTCAAGTTCATTTCTTCTTCACTCCTGGTATTTTCACCCTTCCAGGGCCTACTAACCCCTCTTCCTAAGCTATCACTTAGCTGTGCGATCTACTATGGATTCAGTTCTCGAATCTTTCCACATAAATCAGTCCCTCCAGCACCCTAAGGACTTTGTTGCGCTTCTCTGAACTCCATCAAATTTGTCAGTATCTGTCTGGTCCTGAGGTCTCCAGGATGCAGCATGCCAGATGAAGGGGCAACAGAGCTCCCTGAGAAGGTCCTTCACCTCCCTGCTCTGTAAATGGAGCCCATCACTGGCTTTTTATGCAGCTCCATCCAGTTGGGAACTTCTATCTAATTTGCTGCCCACTGTCACTGCCAACGTTTACTACTGAACTTGCTCCTACTTTCTGCGCATGGACGCTGGCCTCATTATTTCCCATGTGTTGCCCTTTATTATTTTATGTTTTTCTTGCCAATATTTCTAGTTATTTCTCCGCCTCTCTGGTCTTCCCACTTCCAGGGGATAGATGAACATTAATTGAAACTGGACGGAACATTGACCCTTTCAGCAGGCTTCTAGATCCCTCCCTCTCCTGCTTGATGCAGCTCATTGCTATGTGTCATTCATGACACTCAAAGCGGGTCCTCAGAGGGACCACAGGAATCCATACTATCATAGTGGGGGATAATCTCTGGAGAGGCAGAGCTAGTCAGTCTGCTGCTCCAAGGTAGGCCAGTTGCCCAACCTTGCTGTTTTCTATTTGAGTTGAGTTTTATGTAAAGCCTGTGTCCTTTCCCTATACCCCGGGGACATTAAGGTACTTGAATAAAGCCTTGTAGAAACCTGGCTTAGCAAACTATTTTGTTATTGGACCAGCTACCCCATTCCACTAGCTTCTCCTGCTTACTTGTAAGTACTAGCTAACCTAGTCAGTCCACTGATTTTTCCAATAAATTCTTTGGATCTGCCAAGGTATTGGCGCCCACCTTAAACTATCTGCCACTTTCCTGCCCAAAATCCCGGCTCAGACCTTACCTATAAAAGTATGAACGATAGCATTGGGGAGACAAGAATGAAGTAATTTGCACCCTGGGCTCTGGTGACTCACACTTTGTGCTCCCAGGTACAATGCCTCCAGAATCCCACTGGCATTGTTTCTATGTGTGTTGCTGCAAAAGCTTGTTTGAGCAATAGAAGGTAACCGGATGTGCACTTCTGGGTGATAATAGCGTGCTGCTGGTGATGGAATAATACAGCCAAGGGACTTCACCCACCCCTCGGTGACTTCCCGCAGAGGGCCAGATCTGCAGCTGGTGTGAACTGGTGTAGGTCTAGTGACTGCAGTGCAGATTTGTCAAGTGACATCAGATGAGGAGCCAGCTCTGAAGGTCCATTTGTTGGCCCGGATAGATGATTGCTCAGTGCCATTCAGCTGCTGTGGCAATGAGGGGTATAAATACCAAGATGAACATAAAGCTCCATTTGTCTTCAAAATTTTAAGATCATTTTGTGACATTCTCATTAGCTGACCTGCAATTCCATCAAGACAGACAAGAACTCTGGGTGTGACAACAGAGGCATAAGCCAATGAGACATACATCCCCATATGCCAAGTCCGAGAGGCCAGGGTGAAAGGATGGCCACCCTTCAGTTGGGCAAACATGTCCTCTTCCTTAGTACACCCCTTAAGGCAGGGGTTTTTGGTTTTCTGCTGAAACTTGGGGTCACTATATGGAAAAGTTCCAGGGCGGCCACCACCACCACCCATCTAGCCATGAAGGAAAGAAAGGTGGGCTCGCCCCCATTGGCGGCCACAAGTTCCAAGCTGAGAACCCATGCTCAAGACAAGCCTTGCTGTCCCCATGGTGGATCAAGAATGGTAGTGTCCAGCTCTGTGGTCATCTTTGCTTTCTGGACCCTTCTGGCTAGCTGGCAGATGTTTTCCCTTTCCCTCCCTCCCTCTTCCAAGCTGTTGTTACCCCAGCCCGTCATTGCTTCGGGTCATCCACCTGCCCTGCCGGCTGGCTGTTTTCTCATCTATCCACTTCAACGTCGTCTTCTGACGTCTCCTCATGGCTCCCTGCTCCTCTCATTACCACCTCCTTCCCCTTCCGTGGCTGTTTTCCCCCTTGGTCCTTCCCATGGGTCCTGCCCTTCCTCCCTTCATTCTGTCTCTCCCCTTTTCCTTCTGACATTCTGCCCCTGTCCTGCAGTCACCACCTGCAATTACCCCTGGTGCTCGGGCTGTAGCCTCACTGCTGAGTGCTGGGCGTGGCACTCTCCTCTGCATCTGGGTGTTGGGCAGATCAATGCCTGCTCTGCTCAAAACTACTCAGAAGTTCTGCAGGAGCGAGGCGGCTGCCAAAGCATGACTGGGAGCTCCAGCCTACTAGGCCATTCCACCCCATCGAGCTGGGGCAGTGCAGTGTAAAGCACAGGGTTGGGTTAGGGGTTCCTTGGGAACAGCAGCAGAACCACCAACTCCGGCAGGTGGGACTGTCAGAAAAACACCACATAGCCTGAGCCTTGCAAAGTACGGTGGCAACGCCGTTCCCTGCACAGTGTGTTACTGGGCATGTGCTAGCACTGCCAGGGCTCCTGCCCTCTTGCTGCTCACTAAACTCTCCTCTCTGTTTTCTCTGCTCTCATCTGCTGCAGAAGCAAGATACCCTGAACCAAGTAAGAGACCTGCCTTCTTCTCCCCACTTGAGTTGTGGTGGGTGGCTGTAGTTAGGCTATTAGCTTCGGCTCTGCATGCTGGCTTTCGCATGCTCAGCAAGGAGTCCCAACAGGGAAGCCATCACCCAGCCATGCACTTGTGGCCAGCAGGTCCCCACAGGGTAAGCAAAGACCAGTCAGCACGAGGAGAAAGGTACAGAGCCCAGGGAGAGCCACTTTTGTTAGGGCCCCACAAGACATTAAGCAAATGGCAATGTCCCGGCTGCTGGGTAGCCAGTTTTCCCCTCTAGCAATGGGAGGTGATGAGGGGTGCACTTGGCAGGTGTCTTTCCCACTGCCAGAAAACCTCTGCAACGACAACAGACAGCTTTCCCAGATCCCTTTCCCAGACCCAGGAGTTTGGTATTTCCCTGCCAGGCCAGAGATGGGTCTGGGTACCCCTCCACGCCACCCAGCGTGGGTACAGTCCCATCTTGATGGGCCAAGGAATCCCTCCATATAGCTCTGTGCATAGTGTTCCGCAGACCCAACATTAGCCCATGCGCCGCAGGTGATACCGGACAGAAATCACTGAAAATTGGACAAGCACCTTAACTTTCCAAAACTATCCATGGAAACGGCTGTGATTGCATGTCACTGCGGCAGGAGCTATTGGCTACGCCGCCCAAGTGAACAGAGATGTTCGGACCTCAATGCCACAGGCACATTGCCATGAAATGTTAGGTCGAAGGCCTGTGTGGGTAATGAATGCCTGTGTTGTTAAACTCAGACAGCTCAGTTCGAGCAGTGCCGGGGCTGAGATGTGCCATGCATGGAGGCAGGAGACTGGAGGGTTTGATTGTTGAGGAAAGATTTGAAAAGCTAAGTGGCATGGCCTGGGGTGTGCGTGCCCTGCAATCGGGGGATGATCACCGCATGTAGATTGAGCTAGCTTGGGTGCTGAGACCCCAGACTCTATACAGCCCATGCTGTGGTGCAGTCACTGCTCTCGGTACATGAGCTAGCTAGATCAAAGCTCTCTGCCCTCTCCCCGCATGCTGCACTTAGACCCCATGTCTGCCTTGTAGACATGCTGGATGGGGGCTCACCACTCCTCTCCCCACGTAGCGTCTCCAAGGACTCTCCCTCGGGGCTGAGAACAGGGGGGAGAAACATCAGCTCCTGCAGTAGCTTTGTGGGAAGTAGTAAGTGCCCCGCCCCTCCACAGAGCCCTGTTCAGATCAGTGCTGTGTGCAATGGCAGCGCAGGAGAATGGCACCACGACCGGCAGAGACCGCATGGAAAAGAGCAGGGCATGGCTCCCTTTGGCATCCCCATCTGGGCACATCAGCTCTCCACTGGCACCGCCAGTGTGGATGCCAGTCAGATCCAGCCATGCTGGGGACAGGTGGTGGGCTCCTGTCCACCAGGAGCTGAGGGGAAGGGGGCAGTTACTATTCGCTCGTGCCAGCGTCCAGCCCCGAGAGGGCTTGTGAGAATAGGGAGGCTGGCAGCTTCCTAACATCTGCTCACCCTTCTCCAGTGCAGCCAATGAAAGGGAAATCTCCTGGGCTCAGAGACCTGATTCCTGCTGTGGCCAAGGAGCTACACAATGCCTCCTCTCTGGGCTGGTAAAGAGTGGGGATCAGCTCCCTGTGCCCCAGCACGGAAAGGGCAGCCGGGGATATGTCTGTATGGCCAGGAGGAGGGAGCTCGGGCAGAATCGTGCTAGCTGGGAGGGAAGGGAAGGGTGGCATGAAGACATTTCCCCTTTCCAGTCCCTGCAGTGTAGCCCAGCAAAGCGGCTCCTGGCTGGCTGACATGTGAGCTGTCGTGCCCATGGAGGGTCTGGCCTCAGGGCTTTCAGGGCAGGAGGCTGGGTGTGGAGGAGTTAAAGCAGTCACACCTGATGGCAGGGGTTGAATTCTGGCAGGGGTTGGGGAAAGTACCTCCCACAAACCAAGCTCCATCCACGAGACCCCGCTCACAGTCCTGTAGATGTTCAAAATGGGATCGTGCATGTTCCACCAGGCTTGTGGGGTGTGGCTTCCCCAAGGGCTCCCCAAGCAGCTCCCAGTTTCATACTCCCCTGGTGTAAACACTGGCAATGTTTGGAAAACCCTTCTGCCTTTTCCCATCAGCATATCAGAAAGAGTCCTGCCTGGAGCGTACTGTGGGAAGCAAACCGCCCTGTGGAAACCATGGTTTGGAGCAGAGCGAAGGCGGCTCTGTGGGTGGGCAGGGTATTTCTAACAGCATCCTTTGTTTCCCCTCCGTAGCCCATTGACTACGAGGGGTTTCGGCTCTTCATGAAGACGTACCTGGAGGTGGATATTCCTGAGGAGCTCTGCCAGCACCTCTTCATGTCCTTCAAACGCAAGATCTGCCAGTATTCCCCAGAGTCTCGGCGACAAGGTTCCAGCATCTCACAGCTCAACATCCTGGGTAAGCAACATCTGGCCTGCTCCTGCTCTCCTGTCTGCTCTGCACACTGGCAGCCAGTGCGGGGCACGGGCAACTCGTGACATTGTGTGAAGTTAGAAATGGAAGTCAACATCCTTTACTGGGTGGCATCCACTGGTTGGTGATAGCGGAGCTCAGAGTAGACGATCTAATGGTCCCTCTAGCCTTACGCTCTAGGAATCTTGTGTATTGGAGGTGCCAGGGTGTCTGTTCTTCACAGCAACATTCTCCAGTTCTTTTTGACCCCTCTTTAGTACTTCAGTAACACACCCAAATGGCTGCCCTTACGCGGCCATGCACATCACAGGCTGCTGGGAAGAGGTTTGCTCCCAGTGGCTGGAAGGGACCCACAAGTTGCTTAGGTCTCCAGTTTGCCTGGCTGTAAATAGTTAGAATCTGCTGAAGTAGAGCCAGTTCCAGTGATCTCCTGCCCCACGAACAGAACTGTGCAGCTGGCACTCCTATGGTCTCCGTGTGTCTCTGTACTGAGCGCACACCCAGCATGCCGCGGACTCCTGCCTACCATGAGGTTCTGCATTGCTGCCCATTGCTGTAATATCTAAGCAGCTTCCGCGTACAGTGGCGGGGCAAAGCGAGAGCCTTGGTGAGCACCGTGGAGTCTCTGGTTCTCCTCCCTTTTCAGGGTATGGAAAGCTCTTTCCCTTGGGTCTGGTTGGGTGTGCTGATGTTGTGAATGTCGGACTGTTGACGGTGGAAAGGCTTCCTCAGAGAGGAGAGTTTTGCAGTGTTTCCTAAAGTTCATCAGACTCTGGCCTGGCCTGACCTCCCCTCCTCTAGGAGATTGTTCTGTAGCCAGGTCCCTGTGGCAAAGAATGCTTTATCCCTAGCTCTCGCGTACTTCTCCCTGAGCTTTGGGACTGCATTGTCCCAGAAGAGTGCAGCTGTGGTGGTGGTCTATATGTGAAAACATGGTCTCTGCTGTAACTGGCACCTGATCTAGGATGAGGACCAGGCAGTGAGAGCAGAGTGGAGGGACTGGAGCACAGGATTTAAGTGCTCACAGTGGCCTCCATCATGGGGAGGCCTGGCCACGGCATATCAGCTGGAGCTGCAGCATTGTTTTCCCCATTCAGCCTCAGAGACATGGACAGTGACTGCAGACGCCATATGCCCCAGCACACATCCCACAGATTGGGATAGTGTGGCCCTCTCAGGACTGGGGTGGGTGGGTGCAGCATGTGCCATTGTGCAGCCCAAGGCAGTGGCTGTGGGTTCCAATAGGTGCCGTGTACCCTCACCCGCCCAGTAGGATTGGATAGTGCAATGTAATATTCACAAGGGGGGGTACCTTGCTCCCAGATGTGGGTCTTGCACCCTTGGGCTCTGGAGGAGATAGGAACATGCTGCATTCCCTCTGTCTGCTTGTCACAGCTCCTCAGATGGGAACATCTGACTCCCAGTGCCAAATTATTAGGCTAATTCTATGTCTGTAAAGTTAATATTTACCATAATGAATAGAGTATCACCCACACTTGCATTTGGCGGAGATGTGGCTCTGAAGGAATCAACAGATCCATGACGAGGTGGCCATGCCCAACCACTGAACTTTGGTAGAAGTACTTGTCACTAAATGCTTTGCTTCCTTGACTTTTTTCCCAGGAAGGGGAGGTTGGATAAAAGGTGGGGGCAGGGACTACTGCACTATTTCTCATAGAGCTCAGATGACTGCAGACACATTCCATGTATTTATTCTTTTGCTTCTCTTACGTGCTCAGAGCCAAAATCCATTGATGCGGGCATCTCCATCCAGACTGAAGTGGCCTGCGCCCCCGTCACAGGTACCCACTGTGTTTGTGACTCATGGCATGTCATATGGAATTTCAGCCCAACTGAAACGGGAGGGAAAGCAATCAACTGACAGACACAAACTAACAAGCTTCCACCCAGTCCGAGTTCCAGCTTTGTCTCCCTTGTTTGCCAAGGACAGACACCCTTCCCCCCACCCCACCCCGCCCCACCCACCCCTCACCCCCAGTGGCTGGTCTGGAAGTGTTGGCATGCAGGGCTTTGTATGTCTGGTGTTACATTGCGGGTGAATGTATTACTCAAGTCAGCTGAGTGCAGAAGAAGATGAGTGTTATTCTTTAACCTGGCCAGGTCCTTTCCTAATTGCAGTCAGTTTGAGGGGTGCTGATCTGTTTCAAGTGCACTCTAGGCAGCTGCAGGTCTGGAATAAATTGTTAAATCTCATATGCAGGGAGCTCCATAGAGATGGGGGCCAGGAGCGCCAAGGAACACCTGCAGGTGGGACCCAGAGGTCTAAGGAATCCTCTGACCTGTGCTGGGACTAATGTGAAAAGCTGGTTTACAAAGGAGATGGAATTGCATCACTCCGGTGACTCCTTCTGGCCAATTAATAGCACATCAGAAAGAACCCAGCTCAAAGGCCAGGGAAAGCAGCGGCAGTGTGGACCCTCTTGTGTGTGGCTGAATATTCCCCAGGCAGTGATTCCCAGGTGTTAATCTCCCTGTCTAGGTTCCAGCTAGCTAGGGACATGAGAATCTGTCTGTAGGTTTAAGTGTCCTCTAGAGTGTAATGGAGAATTATCTCCCTGGAGGTGGTTATAGGGGACTATGGGATAGCGTGGGGGATGGTATTCTCTGTTATTTAGCCCCCTGGATTTTCCTGTTACAGTCTGTAGGACTTTTCCATGGTGGCCTTTCATCGCCAGCCTAGCTGCTCCTCATGTTCTCTGTGCACAGCTCCTAGTCCCATAGTGTGTATTCTCTGCTCCCTCAGCAGCACAGAGCCCCATGGGACTTGCCCCTTTCCCTCCCAAAGATCCCTCAGCTAAGTGGAGAGAGGCAGAGCGGAGATGCCTCATCAGACCAGCCTTGAAAACCCAGGCTGGGAAACTGGTGGATCAGCCAGCATCCTGGAAGCATGTGGTGGGCAGCTGCTCAGAGCTGCTCTGCGCCCAGCTCTGCTCCAGCTCCTGGAGGCAGGGGTATGTGTGAGAGGGGCAGCGCAGAGATCCAGGAGCATGCCCTGGAGAGAGGAGCCTGCCCTTGGTGGCCAGAAAGGGATCAGCCAACTGAGGGATGTGAGGCAGCCCACATGGGTGGGAGCCCTAGGGCAAAGGCCAGAGCAGCAGGAGGTGAGGGGGAGGGGAGATTCCCAGGGGTTGTTTTTCAGATCACCCAGGGAGATTCCATGGAACCTCTAGAACTGTCTGTCCCTTGGCCAAGTGGGACGACCCTTAGGGAGGGGGCAGAGCCCCAGATCCCTCACAAATGGAGGGAGTGAAGAGTCCAGGTGCTACTGCCCTCGGGAGATCCAAGGGGATGGACCACAGTCCTGTTGGTTATTTCACACTGGCCTGGGGACTGGCTAATGACTCCAGAGGGCAGGGCAAGTGTGTGTGCTACACAGTCCAGGTGTGTTGCCCCAGGAGCGGCTTCCCCAGATGGGTTCTCCAAACCTGGCGTGGTCCAAGCCCCAGCAGGACTCTGGGCCCATGTGCTGGTGCCTGCTTCTTTGGTTGAGCCATCTTTAGAGACGATCAGGTGGGTTTGGGGCATTGTCACACTCTCCACGTTCCTGTATCTGCCTTTCAGGGATCAATGGGAAAACTCTCTTAAGTGCCCTGGGAAGACACACTCCTGACTCCAGGAGCTCCCCCTCTAGCCTCGCAGAGCAGCAGTCCGCTTCTCTGATCCCTACACCTCTAGCCAACACCAGTGCCCTCGGGAACGCCTCTCCCAACTGGTCCAGGTCCTCCTCTCAGAAATCCACCGCCGGCACCCACTCTGCTCACAACTCATCAGGCTCCTCGAAGATCTCCGCCGGGGCTGTGCTCAGCCCTCAGTCCCCAGGTGAGCTTTGCCGCAGGCCTCTGGCTCAGCCCACAGGCTCCCTGGCTTTGCCTGGCCTCTCATAGGGATAAGCTGACAAAAGCCAGAGCTTGGGGTTTTGTTTTCTTCCCTCATCTTCCTGCCTAGAGAGGAAATGCAGATAAATGGGACCAATCTGGCCGCAAAGCCAGCTCGGTGCTTCCAGGAGAGCTCAGGGGTTGTACCAGTTTTCTTGGCCCCTGGAGAAATGGGGACATTGACTCTGGGACTCTTAATTCGTGGAGAGTGTCTCAGAATCAAACCATTGCACAGGGGCGTGACAGGTGTTTGGAAGCTGGGTTCTGTGAGGCAATAGATTCCTCCTGGGGATGTTCTGTGGGTGGGGATTTGATCCTCTGAATGCCGAGCCAAACGAGTTACGGATGATGCACAGTCTGTCCAATCCCAGCAGGAGCAGCAGTTCTATAGCAGTGGGGGCCAGAGCATCTTAGCACCTTTGCTTGTGACTTGAGCCATAAGTCTCCAAGCCCACAGAGACGCCGTCCGTCAATGTCTTAATTACATAGCAGCAGTGGTCCCAGAGGCCAACGGGGTGGTAAAGTGACTCAGCTCTGTCCCGAGTTCCACAAGCAAGAGGAGGGTAGGAAATATCCCCAGCTCCAACCATCTGTGCAGGGCCATGTCCTGCTGGGCTGCATGTTGAGAGTGTCCGGTCTGGCCTTGGCAAGCCAACAAGCTGCCTCTCTCTTTTATTTTTATTTCCTCCATTAACTCCGGTGCATGGTGCAGAGAAGAGCATGTGGTTCGGGAATCAGCATGTCCTATACAGCCCAGCCCTTGGCCTCTGCCTAGCCTGCCAGAAGGTCGGTCTTTCATCCATGGGTCATCGATCCTCTAGTGGCTGAGAGTCATGCCAGCCGACAGCTGTCTGGTGGTCTCTGTGAAATGAATTGGTGCCATGGAAGCACAAAAATACCACAAGACGGGATGTTCTTACACATTCTGTTCGCATTCTCTCAGTCCTACTCATGGAACTGAGCACAAAACGCCTTGGCGAGGGGTCAGGTCACGTGGGAAAGACCAGGAATGGTGGAGCTGGCATTTTTGGGGTGGCCTTGAATTTTCTCCTCTCCTCCCACAGGCTCGCGAAGCCTAGAGAAGAGGTTACCGTTCAGCCTGCGCAAGACCCACAACTCCCTGAAAATGGCCAATCCGCACCAGCCAGCCCTCATGTCTCAGGTAGCCTACCTGAAGGACATTGTTTGCTACCTGTCGCTGCTGGAAAGGGGCCGGGCTGAAGACAAGCTGGAGTGTAAGTGCTGGTGGACACGGAGAACACGTGAGCCGAAAGTACCAGAGACCTGGCTCCAGGAGACTTGTTTAAAGGTGGGGCTGGGTGGGGAGAGCTGGGAGGACTGGTTCAGAAAGGCTGTTCTGTATGGGCCACTGGGAGAAAGGAGAAAAGACTGTGAGGGTGGGGAGAGTCTTGTGTTCCCAGCTGGCCCACCCACTCCGTGTGACCCTAGCAATGTACCTGACTTTGCTATAACCTGGGCTAAGGCAAAATGCATCTGAGATGAGCTTTTCTGGAGCAATAGCAATATTTAAAAGAGAAAACAGCGGAAACATCAGTGTTTGCCATAGTTCCCCTGTCACTCGTACATCTATTTCTGTCAATGGTGCATGCAGTGTAGTTGTAGCCATGTCAGTCCCAGGATATTAGAGAGACAAGGTGGGGAAGGTCATATCTGTGATTGGGTCAACATCTGTTGGTGAGAGAAACAAACATGCTAGCTTACAGAGAGGACTCCTGTCCCCAGTGAAGTACTGTATTGTGATGGACTTATTAGAGTGGTTGCATACCACTGCCCTCTACTGCATGGAATCAGGATTGCATTACTGTCACAGGTTAACAGCTCAGGCCTTGTCTACGTGGGAAAATTTTACCAGTTATACTGGTATAGTTATAACCCACCATGTGGACACTTCTATTCCAATAGAAATGTGGCTTCATTTGGTTTAGCTTAAGCCTCCTTCCCAAGAGACACAAGCTAAACTAAGCTAGACTAAAGCCCCTCTTATACCAATATGAGCATATCCACATAGGCAATTATAACTAGATCGGTTTAAATTTGTGATGATAAACATGTCCCATGCAGACAAGGCCTTGGTTTCCCTCAAGTGATGGGGGTCTGTGTTGTTTAGAGCTGGAAAATATGAGTTGCTGTGTTGTCCCAAGAGGCCATGGTGTGTGGGGCAGTGACAAGGATGACGGTCGAGGTGGTCTCAGATGTGTGACTCCATGAAAGGAAAACTCCAGATTATGACAGTAAAAAGCGAGTGGCTTTGCTGATCTCAGGGGAGTGCTTCAGTCCAGAATACGCTCTCATTTTCATTTTTTTAAAAGCAGTTTGGATTTGACTTGCATCTTACTCATTGCCACCTGGTGTCTAGGAGCTGCAGATGAAGAGCCAAGGCTCTATGACATTCCCTGATTAATGGTGTGTCTGATTTCTGCCCCCCTTTGCCTCCCAGCTCTTTCAGACCAGTATTGTAACCACCCCACCTCCTCCAGAGCATCACTGCTCCCATGCCTCACCTCCCCACCACAGTGGGTGAAATTTTTCCAATTTTGATGAAATTTTATAAAGCAGCAAACTCCCCCATCCATGCCCCTGTTCTTCATCCTGCTGCACTCAGCCCTCAAAGCCACCTCTCTTCTGGGGAAACATTGGTGAGGCCTCATCTGGAATACATTGGTGAGGCCTCATCTGGAATACTGTGTCCAGTTTTGGTCCCCACACTACAAGAAGGATGTGGAAAAATTGGAAAGAGTCCAGCGGAGGGCAACAAAAATGATTAGGGGTCTGGAGCACATGACTTATGAGGAGAGGCTGAGAGA